CCAATATATACACAGTATACTTATTAGTTGTTAATAAAGACATCCATCCATAAGAGGGAGCTATTATGAAGTACAAAAGTTACTTCTACAGAAACATTTTAACTCAAAAGAAAATACTGTATATATGTATTAGAGGGTTCAATTTTCTTTTTCAGGGGTGAAGAATTCAGAAAGGACTTCAAAAATCTTTCAGTGTTGAAGGCCTTTTTTCCCAATGTACCCACAATGGCTCTAACAGCAACAGCACCACCTCATTTATTGAGGGACTTAAAGCAGATTAAGTCTACATTTAAAAAATGAGTGTAAAATTGCTGCAAAAAACCCCAACTGGATAAACATATACCTAAATAAGAATGTGCGTCAGAGTAATCACCATGGATATGAAAGTTATGATCCAATCCTTGGACCCATTGCCAATCAACTAGCAATTCAATGAGAAAAGTACCCAATGACTATTGTCTACTTACCGGTTGCTCAGATTGAGTGCCTGCTAACCCCACGCTTATCTGAACAGTTGAAACGAGGATTTTTTGTTAACTGGAGGGGTGGTGCACGGGAGAATATTGAAGATGATCTTGCCCAAGAAATTTCAAATAGATGCAGTAGAAACATTGTCCAAAGGCTGGGACCAAACAAGAGTCTAAACTCAATTAGCAAGGTCTGCAAAGCAACTACTGGCATCCATCAGATTGTAGAGCAGTTTGACCCATCTGTAGGCATCCCCAAGACATCTGTGCAACATACAACTTGCGACTCACTTAAAGATGAGAAAGAAATGGTGAATGACATATTGCATTTGAATCCTTTTAATCATGTGCCTGGAAGAAGTCATGACAGCTTCCCTGACATTAAAAGGTCTCCCTTAAGGTATTTGAACATCATTGACTATCATCAGTGGCTGGCCAAACACATGGGAGAATTATCAACCTAGATACTGCTGATAATGATTATAGTTATTGAGTGACTAGTGTATCACCAAATTCTGCACATTACAAGTAGTAATAGCTTAACTGACATCTCTTAGACACTTATCTTTCAGTTAAGACTAGTGAGCCACTGAATTTCAGCTGAGATAGATATGTATAAGTTACTGACTAAGTGCTAGGTCATGATGGCTGGGTATTAGCCAATGTTTTTTTTTTTTTGGCATGTTTATGGACTGTGATGGAATCAAGCCCCATAAACAGATTTCCAGTATCTAGCCATCTTGACAGAACAGGCCTGGTCAATTTTGGATTTATTATATGGCTTTTAGGGACGTTTTGTGCAGGACACAGCAGTTAATCACAAGTGGGTTAGAAAGTGCGATCTTTCCTGCTCACTGAGCTAGTCATTCAATTATAGTACGTCTCTTTATTACGT